GAGGAGAGAGAGAGAGAGAGAGAGAGAGAGAGAGAGAGAGAGAGAGAGAGAGAGAGAGAGAGAGAGAGAGAGAGAGAGGAGGTGGCAGAGAGGGATGGGGAAAGACAAATGGATAAGAGGTGAGGATGCACTGGGCATCATACTGGTACATCTTTGGAAGTGAGCAGACTCATGGTACATTCATGGTCTTTACCTTGGACCATCGCAGTTTGATCAGGCGAAAACGTTTGGCTTTCCTCTGTGCATCCATCTCCATTTGAAACTCGTCGCCAGCATTCTGTAGTCTGTACCCTTGGTTTCCAACTTTCAACAACTCATGTGTCTGTGTTCATGTCCATGGTACGACAAGTCATACCCAAGTTACGACTTAGAAAAGATCACCGGAAGGCACCTAAGCTTGGCATGGTGCTCATTTGTCATTAATAAACAGATATAAAGTGATTCTTGAAGTAATGTCAGAAAACCAGCAGTTCAAACCACCAGTACATCCGGAGCTAAGTTGACGAACCAAAAAATGCATTTTGCTGAGCCTAAAAGTGACCGGTACCGGCCATTGGGAAAAAAATCAACATGGTAGCAGTATCGTATTCTGAATTATTGAAAAGCATGGGCCTCCCACAGAAATTTTGGGGCCCAAAAGTTTCTGTCTGCACCGGACCTGGGCCGAACAGCCCAGGGGCTGTACGAATGAACTGTGACTTCAGATGGACTGGTGGTTTAAGGCTAGTCCAGGTATGCAGCTGTAAATTGATGAGGTCCTGGAAGAACTACCAGGATTACTCTTTAAGAAACAAGTTTGTGGTAGGGAAGAGGCACTGAGGCACAGCTGTAAATTTAAGAGAACGGAGACATCTTCTAAATGTACACTTACCAATTTGCCCTTTGCCGGTAGTGTCTGTTTTTTTTTGTTCCTTCACCAGTAGTTTGAGAACAGAGAGACCGTTGGATGACTCAAGTGGCAGTGAAAATAGAACCAGGCAAGGGTCAGCAATAAATAAATAGAACGAAAATAGAACCAGGCAAGGGTCTGCAATAAATAAATATAATTAATTAAATGCTGAGAAACGAGAGCCGGGGTCGCACCAAAAGGGATGCCTTGCTTGGCCTGGAGGCTGGAACATGGCCGTGGGCCTCCTGGTCGTGTGCGAGGTGTTATGAACCCGATTGAACTTCAATCCACAGTGATTTCACACGTTCCCATTCACGCATGCAATTGCAGACTAGACTCGAAGGAGGCAAATGCACACAAAAACCGGACAGGAGATATGCACAGCGGAAGCTCAGACTACACAGAGAATAGAAAAACGAATTTCAATTCTCCAATCCCCCATCCTCCTCCAATCAATTCAGAGTACTTCTATTCCAAGAATCACAACCGCGTTGTCAACAACCGCGAGAAACCAAAAACAAATATTCAACGAAGTATGCAGGAGTCTTCTTCTTCCTCCTCGCCACCTCATACCCCTGGCTATGGCTGCCGTAGCAGCAGTAACCCCACAGCTGTCACAACGTGCAAATCTGAGCCGGCAACCCCAATGATAGCAGCGCCAGCTCAGCGCTCGCACGGAAGTGCAGCGCTGGAAGTCCTGATGAAGAAGGAGACAACCGATCTAGCATTCGGAGAAGATGAAGTTCCCCGTGAGGAGGAACAACAGATATGGCTGCCAAGTGGAAAATGGCAGCGGCCAAACCCAACAACACAGTCCTGTGGAAGCTGTCATGCAGAGCTGCAAAATAGCAGCAGTGCCGTCTTCAACTTCATTTCCCAACCCCAGCTATGGCTGGGCTTCGAGGAAGAAGACGACCTCGCCCAAAATAGAGCAACAGCGCTCCAGCAACGGACGGGCAGAGTTTCCCCAGTCCAAACAAGATGCAAAAGACCCTTAAGTTCCCTAACTAATTTCCTGCCCACTACTTCTATCCACTGCCTACAGTGCCTAGACCTACGATGGACTCCAAAGGCAACAACCCAAGACTCGGCTGTATCAGATGGAAACAGGGGGAGAAGGCCCAAAAGGGGAACTAGACCTATGACAAGGCAAAAGGAAAAGGCCGAATGGCCTAAGACTACCAAACACAGACTACTAGTGACAGACTCAGGGATCAAGTCCCATAGGGCGCAACACTTGCAAACAAAACACACGAGTTACAGGTCACGGGATCAAGTCCCGCAAAGCTCAAAACAAAGAAACAACACAAATAGGGCAAAATGACAAACACAGCAAACCAAGGTTGTGGGATCAAGTCCCGACAACGACAAGGTTGTGGGATCAAGTCCCGACAACAACAAGATGGGCAAAATTGGTATACAGCCCGCTTGCAGCACTGCAATTCATTGCACCTGGAATGGGCGCGTGGCCTAGGGGCCCTCAACAACCGTCGGGCCCCCAAAATGGGGGCCGTGTGCAGGCACAGCATGGAACATACGGACACTGAAAAAGAACTGCATGGAATATGACCCTTTCATGCAAACACTGAGGAAGGAAGTCCCTCCCTACCATTATTGTCTCCATCTGATTCCATCTGTGAGCAGACTCGCAGAAGAGTAATGACCTGCCAAACATGAACTGAGACACACAACCGATTTCTTTTTTTTTCTTTTTTTTTTTTCTTTTTTTTTTTTCTTTTTTTTTTAACAGGTCCTTATGGCCCTGGCTCCATTTCCATTCTGGGGAGCATCAGTCCGGTTCCTATTCCACCGGCAAGTCAGGAAAATATTACAATGTAGAATACCCACACGCTTCCTTCCGTCTGGCCGAAGGAACCCTGATCAGCATTGATTGCTCCAGCAACGTGGAGGATTGACTGTCAGCTTGCCCTGCTTGCCCCTTTCCTCTCAGGACTACTATAAGAGCCTGTCAGATAAAACTTGCACAACCAGAAAGGTCTGAGAAGCTACGACTGTTGCCAATGCTGTCTAGGCCCTAAGCTCCTAAGCCCCTCAAATAAGCGTCGTACAATCCTTAGCATTCTAACCCCTGCTGTCTTGTTTCGATTTCTGAGTTTTGCTCATGGAATGGATGCCTTGCTGAGTTTCCCGCTTGTTGCTGAGTTCTCTAAGTCTGTGTGCGTGCATGCTTGCTGGTCTGCATGCCTGTCTGAGTGCTTGTCGGCTTGAGTGTGACCCGCAAGGGCACTTGGTTGTTCGGAAGGCCCGAAGGGCCGGTACATACCTGTGGCCGTGACATTGAGGGTTGCAGCGGGGAAAACACTCAAGTGGTGGGGAAAGAGGCCCGCGACACTTAGAGCAGCGGAAAACACTCAAGTAGCAGGTAGGCCGGTACCACACCAAGTAGAGGTAGATGTGCCGGGTACTCAAGGCCGAGCATAAGAAGACAAAAGTTGGCATTTTTCAGAGGCCCAGTAGTTGTAGGCTAGGTCTAGGAGGGTACCAGTCCAGCCAGTCTGAGTCTAGGGCCTGTACGGGCAATATCAGAGCCTGCAATGATGTTTCCCTCCGAAAGGGAGGAGGTACCGGTTGCTTGGAGGCCGTGCGACCTAGGAAGTCACTCGCCAAGAGGCAAGCAGGCCGCTATATCTCCAGGAGGAGCAAGGTGCTCCTCATTGTCGGTGTGCAAGTTTGGCGACACACTGGTTGGAGCGCTGGCTGGAGCAGCGCTAGCTTGGAGCAGCGCCGCTGGGGAAGGAAGTAAGGATACGGGGAGAAGGAAGACAAGGACTGGGAAGGGAGGAGCGCCAGAGGTACTTACCTGGCTATGGTAGTTGCCATCTTCATCACCTTGGTGGGCACTGCAGCAAGAAGGCCCCAGTGGGGGTAGAGCAACACCAAGAAGCTTCGAGGCAGAGTCAGGCATGCGGCCTGAGCTAGAGCAGCCATAGCTGCTTGAGTTGTCTTCTGCACATCAGGGCAAGGCCCTAGCAGTCCGCCATAGCCTAGGCCTTCGAGAAGAGGAAGGAGAAGGGTACCATGGCTATGGTGGACGTCACGTGATACCTGCTGTAGAAGAGGGATTTGGACATTGATTCTGGTTCAGCCATTCAACATTATTATTATTATTATTTCTTGATTGAATAAGAGGGGAGGAGATAAGGAGGAGGAGAGTGGTTGGCGAAGAAGAAGAGCATTATCATTGGTCTATGCTGGTGTACATCATCTTCTTCTTCTTTCTTTCTTTCTTTCTTCTTCTTCTTCTTCTTTCCCTCTCTCTCCTCTCAATTTCATTCATTTCTTTCTGCAATTGGACGAATTGTACTTTCTGATGAATGTGTACTTCAAAATTGGCCACGATCGTAACACTAGGACTTCTTCAACTGAACTCTGGACCCGTCCGTAGTCCCGTACCCATCTGATTTCGTGTGGATTAATCCTGCTTCCCAGTGTGAAAAGATGGCTACCTTGAGAGCAGATCAATCAACAAAAGCAGAAGAGCAGAGTTGCGGTAGTCGTCTCACTCTGAGCAAGTCAAAGCTAGCGACATTTGAACCGACATCATGTAGCAAAAGGGGAGAGAAAGGGGGCAGTACCGTAGTTACTGTAGTGATCATCTTACTTTGAGCAGCTCGATAAGGCTGGCATTCCGTGGATCGTTTGGATCTATTCCACTCCTGCGAAGCCACCGAACCAACTTATACATGTTGACCTGCAAAGGTGCAAAGTTGCGAACGTCAAACATTTTTTTTTTTTCCTTTCAAATTTTAAATCATTGCCTTTTTTTTTTTAATAGAAAAGTTAATCGGAGTTCATTGTTAAAGAGAAAAAACATAGGAAAAGAGCAGTACCTGCCTTGCGTGTTGCTGAAACTCGGAATTTCAAGTTCAGACAGATATTAGATAGTAATTGGATACAATTTCATACAAGGAAAAAAAAAAGAAAAAAAGAAAGTTAATTACTACTTCAATATACAAGCTGTCATTTGGGACGTCCGTTAACAAGACAGAGAAAGGTCCTCACCACAGCACTGTCCAAACAAAAAAAAAGGCAACACCATCGACAACATCTCCAGCAGCAACTGAACCGGCATCATACTCGCAGGCGGCGCAGAAGGCAATGAACGAAGTAGAGAAACGGCAATTTGACCGAGGAAAACAAGCAACAGCGAGGGAGCAACCGATACAGCGACATCACGAGCGCTCGGGCAGAGGGCAATGGATTTTTTGTTGGAAAAAACAAAAATTACCACCCCAATTAAGATCACAAAGGAAGTGATCAAGGGGGAGGGAGGCAAGGAGGAGGAGGTGGATGTGTGGGAGTACCCAGAGCAAAACGTATCATCGCTCAACGATCTGTACGAGAAACATGCAGTACTTTTCAACTTTGCGCAGTGTTGCACACCCCGACCGTCGGCGACCCCTGACTGGTTGGTTGCCAACCCACCGACCGGTCGGCTGGTCAGCACCTACCGGTCGGGGGTCGTCGGCCCCCCGCAAARAAAAAAAAAAAAAAAAAAAAAATCTTTTTTTGGGTCCAGAACCCCTAATAGCCCCACAAACACCCCCATACCCACCCCAAATACCCCCATACCCCCCCGAAACACCCACAAACCGCCCCCCAACACCCTCATACCCCCCCCCAATACCCCCTATACCACCCCTATACTGCCTATATCCCCTTATGCACCCCCCCCCAACCCCCCCCATCCCCAAAAGTTTCTCGGCGGATTTGGGCTGTACTCAGCAAGCGCAATACAGCTTCCAACTCAGATCTGAAAAAAAATTAGTGGATGGTTGTTTTCCGACTGGTCGGCCCTACTGGTCGGCGGTCGGGGTCGGCGGTCGGCAGGGATGCAACCATGACTTTGCGGGCAAAAACCGCGACCTGTTGCTGAACGAGAAGAGACACTGGGTGATGGACTGGTTGAGAGCCCTGGAGAATGTGCCAGGACATGAACCGGAGGTTTCCTACCACAAGAGAGGAAGATTCACAGTTATGATTGTGGGCGTGGATCCTACATACACGGAGTACCTCATTTCCTTGGGATCCTTGAAGTGTCGTGGAGCAATGGTGACGATACAAGCTTGGAAGCCACCTAGACCTCTGCAGGCGGAGGCATCCAGACATCGTCAAAATATGATGAGGAACCATTTTTGGGTGCAATTCGACTACCTAACCGAAGGCATGCACAACTTCGTTCAGAAGAGGCTCGCAGACGAATATCCAAATAACCCCATCATCGATTGGCGTCCAGCGAATCCAGACTTCTTAGCCCCCAATCATGATTCAAGAGTAGCATGTATGGAGGTCACCTCAGGAGCACCACCGAAACTCCCCGAGCAATGGATCTCCCGGAAGAGCAGCGAACGCCTCACCATCTTCGTCTCGACGAAAACCAACCCCTTCTGCTTTAAATGTAGGGGAAGAGGTCACCTGGGGTCAAACTGCCCACAAGCACGGACGACCAACAGACAAGCGCCGTTGAGACAATCGATGCTGGCAGAATTTGACAACAAGCCAAGGGTGTGGTACATCAATTCAGCCCAGTACAAGTGGTGGATCTTTGACGATAACCTTGAGAACCCCAAGTGGGTCTGGGTCCTCAAGGGCACACTGAGCTTGAAGCCAGATGTTTACCCACCTTGCGATAGCAAGTGACGACAGATAGGGTCCAAGCGAATGGAGGACAAGGACACCATTTTTTTTATTAAACCAATGATTGAAGAATCGATGATTCTGGACGACAACCATAGAATCAGGACAATGGAGGAACTACACCAAGTGGGGAAGACAGCGGAACAGGTGTTCATGGAGAATCGCAAGGCTCACATGCAAGATCAAAGGAAACCGTGGAGAAAGCCAAACGCAGCCAGAAGCATAGCAAGAGGAGCAAGGAGAGAACATGGACTGTGCGCCACAAGTCTCTCACTGAAGAGGAAGGAACCTCATGCATAAATGGAGGAAGAAACTCAGGAGGAACAGTCAAGTAAGACGGCCCAACGGGAGACCACCAGCCATGGGACAGACGGGAGGCAGACGCCAAAACTGGCAGAACAGCAGACGGGGGGAGAGGCGAGCAGTCCAAAAGGGGAATCCATGGAGATATCACAGGAAGAGACCCCGACCGACAACAAATCGACAACTAGAGAGGTCAATCAACGCTCCATGAGGGGCCGGGAGAATCTGTCAGAAGAGAGGACCAAGGAGACGGAGCCATGGATGACAAGGACGAAGACACATACACATCATCAGAAGAGAAGACTGGGAAGAAGAGGAGGAGGACACATTGGAACAATCTCCTGCCAAATGTTTAATCAATGTCTGCCACAAAAAATGTCGAATAAGATCCTGGGCTTCATGCCCGATGTAACCTCTGCCTATAACCTCTCTCTCTCTGAAGACGAAGAAGAAGAAGAAGGAGGAGGAGGAAGGAGGAGAGATGGAGGGCGAGAGAAGAAGAAGCAGATGTCGTCCTCCTCACTATCTCCCTTGCAGGTAACTGCCACCATGAACTAATTGTTGCCGCGTTCCCTTTGTGCTGCAGGAGCGCTGGCACGAAGACCAGCTATGGCGCCCAGGTAGGAACTCCACCGATGCAGGTATGGCCTCCGCCCCTCTGCCTACCTACTCCTCTACCTCTACTCAAGCGTAGCGCTGGTCCAGCAGCGCGTCGCCCAAGAAGTGAGCTACTTGAATTGTGTGTCTGCCCTAGCCTGGCCCAACTATATGTATCGTTGGGCCTCGCTAGTCTGCCTCTGTGTGCCTCTGGTCCTAGGCCAAAAACGTGACCTACTGGGTCTGGGTCCCGACCGGACGTCCAGACCCTCCCTGCTGCTACAGCAGGGACGTCCGCTACTGGACGAATGCGAACCTGGCCCAGAACGGGCCTGCTCACTGGTGAACCAGGCCCAAGGCGCGGACTTGGTCCGAATAGACCGAAGGTCTGTTCGGACGAACTGTCAGTCCGAAACGACGCCCGAACAGACAAAAATAGGACAGCATATAAATTAATAAATGTTGTCTCAAATCAAATCCTGCGGCCTAAGGGCCAGCCGTGGACCTCCAGGGCGCGTGTCCGAAAGGCGTGGAGCCTGGGGGCCCCCAACAACCGTTGGGCCCCCAAAATGGGGCCCGTGTGCAGGCTCAGCATGTAACATTCCCTAACCTTCTTAATGCCCTAACGACAGCCTCATCAGTAGTAGCTAGACAGACGGCAACCAAACGAAAGAGAAGGGAACAAGAGCTATAACAAGCGGTCAGAATAACAGAGAAGAACTTGATCAGAAGTCCAGGAACAACCATGTACGAAAGAACCCTGGAAGCAGTGAAGAACAAACTAGGGAGAGATGGAGAATGCGGGGCTTGCAAATGCAAGCCAGGCTTAGAGAATGGAAGAGGGAGAGCGAATGACGAAGTTTTTCTTCCACAAAATCAAGACCAATGGGAGGAACGTCCTTATAGAGCAACTGCAAGGCCAACAAGGTATTACGCCAACAGCAGAAGGAATGGTGGAGGTAGCACACGACTTCTACAAAAAACATGTATACCTCAAGAGAACTTGAGCATCCTCGTCAACAAGTAGCCACCACAAGAAATAAAATTTTAAGCTATCTAGAACTAACAATCCCCAAGATACACGCAGCAATGCTAGACGCCCCACTGTCGCTGGAAGAATTAGAGGAAGCTCTTAAGTCCATGGCTCCTAACATGACATCGCGCAAGGATGGCCTGGCTAGGGAGTTCTGGTTGGAATTCTGGCCGATCCTAGGGGAAGAGTACGAATCATTCCTAAACCAGGCATGGTAGAAAGAGGGTTTGGGACAAGACCCAGCTATAGGAATAGTTACACTTCTGTACAAAAAAGGGGATCGGACAGACATTCGTAACTATAGACCGATAACCCTTCTAACCTTGAAACACAAGATAGTGGGCGCAACATTAGCTAACAGGCTTGAGGGGTCACTGCGGCCTGCTTTCATTTGGATCAAACCGGGTTCATACTCACAAGATTCATCTTGGACAATGTCATGACATTGTCAGAGTCAGTACGATATATCAAGGATAAAAGAATAAATGCAGCAATCCTCTTCTTTAAGTTTGAAAAGGCCTACAATCAAGTGAATTGGGACTTCCTTCAACAGTGCATGGAAAGGATGGGGGTAGGACCAAAATTCTGAAAGTGGATTAGCGTCCTATACAACGATGCACACGGACAAGTCCAAGTCAATGGCCACATATCAGCAAAATACAAGATGTCGCGCTCGCTCAGCCAGGGGATCCCCTAGCAGCCCCCATCTTCTTGTTCATCATGAAGGTGGTCGCCTCGTGCCTGGAGGGACCCCTCGATACAGCAGCTGACTACGACACCAGACCAGCAGGGAAGGCAAGTGCAACTCCCCACAACTCTGATGTTTGCGGATGACCTCATAGTGTTGATCAGAGCATCTGATTCCTCCTTCCAAGCGTTGACAAGAGGGATGGAAGCCTTCCAACTAGCATCAAAAATGAAAATTAACTGGACAAAGACCATGGGCTGGTGGTTGACGACCCAGGAAGGGGGGGGATTGGAACCCACCATTAACCCAGACGGACTACAATGGATGATAGCACGAACCCCGCTAAGATACTTGGGAGTTAAGATAACGGAAACAGGCCCGCATTACTCCATGGCAGTGGAACTTTTGATCAGGATCCTAGCAAAACTGGGGGCATGGTCAGCGATCTACACCTCAGTGTTCGGGAGAGCGCTCATCCTAAACGCATCCATTTTTTCGATGTTGTGGTACGCAGGGACAATATGGAGTCCCCCAACTCAGACGACAGTAACAGTACGAAGAAGAGCTTCAGCGTACCTGTGGACCTCCGATCCCAACAGGCCCAACTTCATTGCCAAAGTTGCATGGAAGCACGTCACAAAGCTGAAGGAACAAGGAGGCCTATGCATAATAGATCCAGACCAACAGCTCAAGGCTCTGCAAATGAACTGGGTGGTCAAACTGATCACCCACCCAAATCTGTCGTGGGTGCCACTCGCCCTCGACAGAATTAGACAATTGGCGAAGTACACTACACCAGCCAACATGTCGGGGCTCTTCTGGATAATGTGCAGCAACTGGGCCAAAGCAGGGAGAGGTCCATGAGAGCAGACAAGCGACGAGGGCGGAACCAGGGTAGGCTTGTACTGGCAGCAACTAGTGAAACTGTGGAAGGAAATCATTCCTGCTAGAGTCAGAGAGCACGTACTCGAGAGCAGGTTCTCCGCCAGCCCATATTCTGTAACCCAGCCATCAAGGACACAGGGTAAGCCCCTCACACTCACAAAAAAAGACACAAATTTGTCACAAAATGGGGCGCGTGGGTAGAACATGGAGTCTGGCAGATCAAACACCTCTGGGCAAAGGATAAGCAGCAGTGGAAGACGGCCAGGGAGTTCAGAGCAGAACTAAAGGGATGCCACAGACTAACTGAGAACCTCAACGACATCCTCACATTCATACCACATGAGCGGACAACAATGTTGAAAAAGAATACTCAATGGGGACTAGGCGACTGGGTCACATGGAAGCAAGAAGGGGAACCTGCAGAAGCATTCCGCATCTGGAGCCAAGAACCAGCAAGGAAGGAGTGGTTGAACGCGGACATGTACAACATCACAAACCCGGGAAGTACCACCAGCCTCTTGTACCAGGATTCCAAGACCCCGGTCACTATTCAAGTGCAACAAGTACAAAAAGTAAGAGTAGTGGAAACGGAGGACTTCATGATATTTAGCCCAACCACTCCAATAGAAGATATGGAAATAGACCCGGCGGAGTGGGCGTGGAATCTCAGAGGAGGGAGGTTGAGAATATCTAGAAGAATCAACATACTCAAGTATACAACTTGAATCGGCTGCAGACTAAGAAGGCGTCACCACCCACTGAAGACCGCACTCACGCAGCATTGGGAAAACAGAGCGGGAGTCTCCCCGGAGCAACTACTGGCAATACCATGGGCTCTGATCAATAAGATAAGACTTGGTCAAGTTAGGAGCATGTAGTGGCTAATTGCGCATGTCGCACTACCGGTAAACGCTTGGCTAAACGAAAGGAGAAGTCGGGCAAGGAGAGACCCCTCCAACGCCTTGTGTTTAGTTTGCCAGCAGGGCTCAGTGAAAACAATGGAACACGGCTTGCTGGCATGCCCAGAGGCAGAGAGCCTACGGGAAATAGCCAGAACCCTCTGGAGGAAGATGACGCAGAAGTCATTTCTGGAAGAAAAGGCAACCCTGCTACTAGGCCACAACTGCCCCAGTGACTGGCCAGCCTTCGAGAAACAGCTGTTCCAACTCATAAGACAGTATACAGTATGGACGATTTGGACAAGACGCTGCCAGATCACAATAGGAAAGAGGGCGATGCATAGACAGGAAGCAAGGGAAGTCTTCCCAAACTTAATGGAAACGGATGTTCGGGCACAGTGGAAACGAGTGCAGCGGCAGATGAGACAGCAACCGGAACAAGAACAGGATTTGAAAGACAGGTTTGATCGCAGAATCCTTGGGAATGGCAAAGTAGCAACCATCCAGGCCTCAGGCCTCATATTTCTGTGGAGACAGAGAGGACGAGGTGGCGGGGGTAAAGGGAATGAGGAGCAACAGCAGTAGGGTTTAGGTTTTAAGGCGAGGATAGGTGGAAAGAGAGAGGGGAGGGAGACATTAGACAGATGAAAATAGAGGTAGGCTTAGGATTTAGCATGTTGGGACACTACGCAGGGGTGTCAAATTTTTCATTTCAATTCAGCTCTTTCATTTCTTAAGTGCAACCTGGGGGTCTAGCGGCAGGTTGGAAGGTTCTTTCCTTCATTGCTATTTGTCGCTTGTTAACCCAGCTTTCTCTTTGTTCAGGAATAGCATGTAGTTTGACAGGAGAAAGGGACATAGGATCCGGTCTCCAGTATGAGCCTAATCTGGGTAATGGCCCAAGTCTTCCGGGTTGAGATGTGGAGGGATTCCCGGCCTCCTTTTGCTCTATATATAATGAAGCATAGTAGTTGAGCCCTTCAAGACATCTGACGAAATTGGAAAGATATTACGATGCATAGAAGATTAGCATCATCCCTGCACTTTCAAGGATTACACGCACAAATTGGGAAATGGTCCAAATTCTTTGCAAGTGTGGTGAATGCACTTGCCTCCTAAACAGGGGGACACACGATCGGATATGAAAAAGAAAACTCTACCATGCTGTGTAAAAGCCCTCTCTCTCTCTCTCTCTCTCTCTCTCTCTCTCTCTCTCTCTCTCTCTCTCTCTCTCTCTCTCTCTCCTGGCAACACACACACACACACACACACACACACACACACACACACACACACACACACACACACACAATTTCGGTATTTCCCTCTTTTCACACTCCATAGGGGTATGTGGCTGCCACCGTCCTGGCAAGAGAACCTCTGAAACAGTTGAGGGCAAGAAGCAAAGCGAGTAGTTTAGAGCAAGAAGGAAAGGGAATAGTCAGGGGCAATACATTTAGATAAGGGAGTTAAAGGGACTAATTAAGGGCAAGAAGGAAAGGGGATAGTTGAGGGGAAGAGGGGAAGGCAGAGAGAAAGGAGTTTCCTCATACCTGTCCAATTGCTCCAATTGCACTCTGGTTGTGAGGAAACCTGTCCAGTCTTAGAGAAGAAGGTGGACGAGGTGGAGCTATGACTACGCAACCCTTCTCAGGGTCCTTTTCAGGCCCTGTGGACATATTTCCCTCCACCCACTCAAGGCGGGCATACAGTGTACCAACGGGGCAGCGAAGACTGGTTGATTTTCCAAAACCACACACTGTCATTGCTAACTGTTCCTGCTGCTGTTGCTGTTGCTGTTGCCGTTGCTGTTGCTGCTGTTGCTGTTGCTGTTGTTGCTGATGGTGGTCATTATCCACAGATTCTCCTTGAGTTGGTTGTGCGACTCCTGTGCTTTCGTCTTTGGTGTCTTCGGTATGGAATTGGGTCACTACTGTACCTCCTGCAGTCTCTTGCACAGGATGTGCAGAACTCACACAAGGACATACTGGCAGGAAAGGTGTTTGTCCTGTGAATTGGTAAGGAACAGGCGCCAGGTCTCGGAATGCGCCGCCATCAGCACCTGGAACTGCCAGAAACACCTGCAACATGCAACGAATGCCAAAGGATTCCATGTACAGAAGGCTCAGGCGAGGTGTCACGTGCTTTGGAACACCCTTCCCCTCCACCCTTCCCCCCCCCCCCCCCCCCCTTTGATAGGGTAAGACCATCCCCTTGTTGTATCCTCACCCATTATCGTATTGTTTAGCCGCCAGTACGTAGCCCCAGGCTCGCTCCTAAAATTTTGGAGGCTCGGAGCTACCAGACCACAATGGCTGGCAGTGCCATTCAGAAAAGAAAAAAGTGTGCCGCTGGCGGTTCGACAAAGCTTGGTGTGGATTGCAAGTCCGCCAGGCTCGGGTGTACTGGTGGTTTAACCGCTGTGAGACAGTTCAAGTAGTTTTGTGTCAAAGTTGGTCTTCAGAGATAACGAGAGAGAAAGAGAAGAGTATGTATGTGTGTGTGTGTGTGTGTGTGTGTGTGTGTGTG